ATCTTTTCCTCACCCTGCATATCAAACTGGACATTAACTTGATCACCCTAGTACATCCCAAAGCCATCCTATTTTCCCAAGCCCCACTGCATAATTTGGAGTTCTGCATCTTACCGTCACAAATGGGCCATATAAAACTGATCTTAACTTTCCTCTACTTAAGCTCTCTTACCCATGGATCACCACAGCCTTAAGGGTAAAGGTCAAAGTCTTGGTGGGGAAGAGGGCCTTTTATTTATTTGGCCTTTGTTTACTTATTAAACTTCATCTCTCTGTTCTCTCCTTGGCCTAACTTTTTTCTTGTACTTCAAATGCCCTATCCTCCATCCTCACCAACTAATTCCTACTTACTTTCAAAATTCAGTTCAAGGAAAAATTCCTCCAGAAAGCCTTCTCTGAATCTCCTAAATTCTCATTTCCTATAGTCGCCACAGTACTCTATGCCTACATGTAATTACAGAATTGATCTCGTACTTTGGCCTTGTCACTGGCTTCCATGCAATAACACAAGCTACTTGAAGAAAAGTTAGGGACTTTGAACCAGAGCAGATGCCCTGTCTTTGCTGAATGAAAAAATAAATGATGAATATAATAGCTTTATTATCTATGACTCTTCAAAATTATATTTACTTAAATGTTTCAAAACAGCTTGAATAAAAGTTTCCTCTATTCCCTCCATGTTTATATTCTAATAGCATATACTAAAACCTGAAGGTTTGATCACATAAACCTGTTCAAGGATTGTTAAGTGAGTAAAACTTAAAGTAAATTCTAAAAGCAGCTAGACCAAAGATAAAGGTTTGTTAAGAGAGGAGGGAAAGGTATACCCAGGCAGCCAAAAACACCTCATTAACAAGAACATTCATAATCATAATATTTATCAGCCAAATTAGCAAGCAGTTGGTTATCTGACCAAAAGGAGATTAGAAGATATATTCTAATGCACTGGAAAGAACTAAAGTCATCAGTTCAGAAGCCTGGATGAAATGTTTCATTAGTCCCCAGACAAGTGAAAAGATAAATCTTTAAGTAAAAAATAAACAACCTATCTATGCAGTTTTAATTCTCAACTTCCTTGGGCCTAAAGAAATGTTTCTTATCAGGAGCAATGGAAAATTATATGGTATGTAATGTAAAACCCTTTGAAATGTCTTTAAAATATATAAAGCTAAAGTAAACTCAGGCTAACTGAAAGCCAATATAAATTAACAAAAGTAAAAATCATAAATGCAATTTTATGACTTCCATTTTGACTTAAAATAGGTTAAAAAATTGAGGGCAAGTACTTGAGGGACCCAATTTATAAAAACTATAATGTGTAGTCTAGATATTTGAAAATAAATGGAATCATCCACATTGCTTAAAAAATTTCTTTCAAATAATTTAAATGGAAGAAAAACTGACAACCATTCCTTGTCGTGTTAGCTTAACAAGTCTTATCTCCTATCATGTAGAAATAGCACACAACCTTTATCCAACTTATCACTGTGAATCACAGATTTATATTATATTTATATAACCATACCATTTTATTACACTACCCATCTCTAAGTCTCTTGTACTTTTTAAAAAACATGTGATACTTACAGATTGTTCATCTCCTAAAGCAACATGTATTGCCCACTTGATCAAAGTTTAAATTATCACCTTAGGTTTCTTTTTATTAGATAAACTGAGTTCATTGTTACAAACCAAGAAATATTAAGATCGAGTTTTGCTATAGACCCACCAACAATCCTGACACTATTATTTCTTTACACTTCTTCCAAATATAGTTATATAATTGTATTTTTTGTTGTGGTTTTTTTCCCCCCTCAAATTTTTTATTTTTTTATTTTTTAATTTTCACCTGAGGATATTTTTTCCATTGCTTTTTCAGAGAGAAGAGAGAGAGAGAGAAACATCAATGTGAGAGGGACACATTGATCGGTTGCCTCCAACACACCCAAAACGGGGCGAGGGATCAAGCCTGCAAGCAAGGTACATGCCCTTGGCTGGAATTGAACCTGGGGCCCTTCAGTCCACAGGCTGACACTGTAACCACTGAACCAAACCAGCTAGGGCTCCCCTCAAATTTTAAACTAGAAAAGACTTCACTTGGATTTTTTTCCTCAGCTCTTACATTCCTCCTCAATCTTCCCATCTTGATCTAGTCCATGTCTAGAACTAGGAAGGTCAAGCAAAATCTTGAAAAGTTGTATTTTCTTGCCATGGCTGGGTGGCTCAGTTGGTTGCAGTGTTGTCCAGGACACCAAAAGGTTGCGGGTTCAGTCCCTGGTTGGGGCATGTACCGGAGGCAACGCAGCGATGTTTCTCTCCCTCTTGCTCTCTCTCTAAAAATCAATAAAAACATATCCTCAGGTGAGGACAAAAAACAGGAAATTATATCTTCTTGAATTTTCCATGGCCCTAATAGTGATGTAAACAATTCACTTCAACTAATGGTTTATGGACGATATCTAAAAGTAACACAAGGCTATGAATATTATGTTTCAAGAGAACTATTTTAGATATCTTTTTACTCCTACAAGAAGGCCAAACAATGTACTTATGAGTACAGTAAACCCCCGATTTTGCGGATCTCAATTTAATGGACTCGGACTTAGTGGACAAAATTTCCAGTCCATATGTCATAGGTGAAAATTAACATCCTGTTAATTTTAAAACTCTTCTAACCAAGATTTGCTTGTAATGAAATTAACATGTTATTTTTGTTATTAATTCACTGTTTTTTTTAACAAATTTTAGTCAATAGGTCATATGTTGAAAAAACACTGTAGTAATTTTGCTGACATAAATATTACATATCTACGACTATAGTCTACACATTTAAATCCAGAAGTCACTGCTCGTAAACAATGTTTGGCGAATGATCAGCATGTGATCACACCACATCTCGAAATAGTAATTGGTTCTGCTGTCTCCTGGCAAGACTTTCTCCAGCAGTTTGAAGAGTGCCAGCCAATGTACCCAAATGCGCTAAGCCACGCCCCAGCCGTGTGCATTTGTTTACTAGCAGTGACTGGTGAATGCATGCATTTACTAGGCCTATTCAATATAAATTTAAAATTACAGTAATACATATAGAAAAGTTTTCTGTGAAATTAAACTTTTCACACATACTTAATTTTAATTACATAAACAAGTATACATAAGTAAAACCAGACAAACTAATTTGTAAATTTTTTAACATACACGTTCGGAAAACCTGTTTTACTATATAGCAGACTTTCGGCTTTAAAGAACACCCTCTCCCCAAATTAGTCCATTATATCAAGGTTTTACTGTACCATCAATCAATCAACAAATGAAAAACTATTGTTACATCTTTATGGGCATTTTTACTCTCAAACTATTGATTTATTACCTTTTGGTTATCAATTCTCCACTGGAAGCAGCAATCAAAATATAGCAAATTTTAGGTTGATAAAATAATATCCACCTATTGACAGACATTAGCCAGGTGATGGTAAATACCTAACATTAACCAAGTCAGCAAATACCTAAGACAGAGATTTTAGATACCACTTATCTACCAAAGTAAGTAAAATTGCTTTGAAAATTGCATTAGTATCCAATTGTTTTTATACTATACCATTATATGTAACATTTAAATGCTTCTGATCACTACATTTCAAAATTCAGATGAGTCATAGTGTTTCATATGCAGGAATTGGATGTGAATCAAAATTATAAACATGCACTTGCCTGCTGGTCAAAAATTGAATGTGGACAGATTTTTTTTTAATTAAAACATAAGCACTAAATACATCCTGTGTTTTTAAAATGATCAGTTCTCAACTGTTAACACAATAAACATGCCATTTGCCCCTCCTATCCTTAAACATCTCAAAATTACAGAATACTTCGAACCCATGCCCTCACATTACAGATAGGCGCCTCAGAGCTAGGGGACTTTAGTGATAGAGTCAGCACGACTAGGGCTCTGGGCCATCAGAGTCTGAGGCTTACTAGAGGTGACAGTAAAGAAAACAAGGAGGTACCAGAAGAGCTCTATCTTGTGATATGGGATCATAAACTTTTGTACCTAAATCTAGAACCTGAAACTGAACCATCAACAAAAATTCCATCTCAAATCTACACAGTAAAACTGGCAGATAAACTGGAAGAAAAGGCAGGGAATGGCCATTTTAGTTTGTGGCCTAAGACCCTGATCATCAAAAAGGTCTGTTGAATGGATGAATGAAGATCGCATGACACTTGTTAGGATGACTTCATTGATTTTAAAAGCTCCAAATTCAGGAACTAAACTAAGGGAACAGGATGCCACAGCTGAAATTAAAACTCAGGGAGAGTAGGTACATCATAAGTGCAAGTATCTGCAAATCTCCGGAGAGCTTTTGCAGACATCTCAAAACATGCATTCATACATGTATGTGCTATTATATACATATAGACACATACCATTTCTGTGGGTAATTCCCACAAGTGAGGACCAGAGAACCAGATTTGAAAACAGGCCCTGGTCACCCATAAGCCTTTGCATTAAGGTGGACAGGATCTGAGTGAGTCACTGGCCATGAGGAGACAGCCACCCCAGGCCAGTCAGGACACGGCCAGAACCCCCTGCACTGCCCCGCACTGCCCCGGACTAGGGACCGGCCAGGGGAGGCTGCGACGACTGCAATCCACTGCAGGTAAGTCGGGACCCCGCCGAGCCCCATCGCAGGCACCGGAGCCGCCCCACCCAGGCATCGCGGAGCTCTCTAAGGCAGAAGGCCTAGCTCCCCCGGAGCTCAGAATCCAGAAAAGCCAGGACGGGGCAAACGGCAAGACCTGTCCCTTGCAAGCCGCCCCACGCCGCGGCACGGCCCTGCGCCACATGCTCCAGTGCCCCATCTCCCAGCAGAGCCCCTAGCCCGCGGGGCCTCGGCCGCCCTGCGCACAAGCTGAGACCAGCCACCGGCTGGTGCGGCCCGCGGCGTCTGATCAGGGGACAGCGTCCGAGTGCCCGGCGTCTGCCACCCAGCATCGCTTACCTCCCTTCTGCCACCAGCTCCGCCGCGCACCGGCTGCCTGACGTGGCCCGCCCCGCCGTCTCGAACGCCGAGGGGCGGGGTCTACGGGGAGACAGCCAATGGCCTGCGGACTGCCAGGGCCTGCCCCGCCTCCTCCAGCTTCGGCCCGCCCTCCCTCGCCAGCGCGCACGCGTGTCCAAGGCCGGGCCGGGCCCT